AATGAGTGATTCATGTTTCAACTTAATGGTTCCTGAATGTGTAATTATTTCTGGTGCATTTCAATATCCTCATGTGCATTGGTTCCTGATTTTTTTCAACATTTTTTGTGGGTTGTTGGCTTTTCTGTTTAGAGATTCTGGGCTTAAGAATCTGTGGCTTGGGTTTTGTAAATTGGATTTCTTTTTGCTTGCAGTAAATTAGTAAAATCTGCCATTTTTTTCTTGCTATATGTTCCAAGAACTTTGAAATTACTTGGGAGGTTTCTAGAAATTCTTTAGCTCTTGGGGTAAATTGGAGTGTATATATTAATCAAACTACAACCATATCCAATCATCCCAACAAAATGTTAACCAACAAGCATTTTACTCCACCCATTAAGCATTGTTATAGGTACGAGAAAATCAGAATAAAACTCTTTGAAGGCTCTAATAAATTTCACAAATACAGTAATAAGATAATACAGTTTCCATACGGTTTTTAAATGTCGATCTTCCACCTCCACCTTCTCCCCCCTTTTCTTAATGGATCACTAATCCCACATTCTACAGAACATATACGTATACATACGTATACATATATATATATATATATATGTATTGTACATATTTGCTTTTGAGGTTTGAGGAAATCTCTCCGGCATTGAATTTAAGGAATTTTATCGATTTGTGTGGGTAGAATATGACTTATTTTCCATTCGTTTTTGTTGCTAAGAACACATCAGACACAGAAGAAATTAAAATACCGATTGGTCATTACTTAAGCATGTGCAAAATCATTCCAACTTTCATGGTTATTGGTCATTGGATTACCTGTGCATTACACTGTTAAAAGCAAAGTTAATTGAGTGTCCTCACTCATTCAATATGTTGTCAAAAGTGCAATTTCAGAAATTTCGTACAGTGGACAATAATGTTGGTGTGAATCCTATCAAGGGTTTTATCATGTTATAGTTACAAATCCTTGAGTGATTTAGTAGACTACACATATGACTTGAGGTTTTACATGATCTGAATGCATACATATGATTTTGTTATGCTTTCTAATTTTTCGAATAGAAACTTTTATTCTCTCTAATTTTTTGCTATGTGATGTATCCTTGCAGGTGAACAACATATGTGCCTTTCAGAAACTGAGGGCCTCATCTCAATGATGCACTTAGAATATTCCATCAGATGGGTGTGTTATATAAATGTACACCAAACTCATTTTCCTACGATTATCTCGTGCATAATTCTTCAAGCCTCAAAACTTTCACAATCAGTTTGGATTGGCTGATGAGAAAATGGACTCAAGTTTGAATATTTAGCTCAATTTAACATGTAGTTTAGTGGGAAAAATAAAAATAGATTTTTGCTTATAACATTATTTCTCTTATTTTAGCTAAGAAATTTGGAGTAAATGAGTTTGTCAATCTGAAATACAATGACAAACCTGTACACAAGATGAAAAAATCATGTTATTTTTAGTAGATGTTGCCTCTATACATTAACATAGAGGGTCCAGTTTTATACAACCTTCTAATTTATTAATTTGATCTTTGAAATCAATAGGTTATTGCTGAGATAACCACGGTTGAATTGACAGGAGGATTTGTGCATAGGCAATCCTCTAAATCAGATTCAGATATATGCCTTAAATACGCCATCCTTTAAGACTTTATCACTAATAGATTGTCTTGCAGCACCTCCATTTCTTCTTATGCTATAAGAAATTAGGATTCAATTTTGAATCTCTGTGCAGGTGTATTTTTGCCACATCACCAACAACTACTATTACACCTTAGGGACAATTAAACAACCACATTCTCAAATCCATATTAAAAAATCATGTAATTGTACATAGTTAGGTTTGATGGTGCATATGCTATTAATGTAAATTCAATAGAATATAGATGAAACAGAAATATTTATTTCACCTTATGGATTCAGTTCTTATGAGTGATATCTAAATAATTTTTAAATTGTGGGCTATGATTTCAAAACTCACAACGGAGCGCAGACATTTTTGCTAGTATCTTACTATTTGTCAACAAATTAACAAAAGAAAAATAGAGTTGGATCTTCAAGTTTCTTCGTTTGAAGAGCCAAGAGTATGAAACTATTTCTCAAAAAAAAAAAAAAAAAAAAAAAAAGGTTACAGGCCAACCCAAGAGAAGGCAGAATAACCCAAGCACACTTAGAGAAAGCTAAAATACAAAAGCCCATCCCAATAAACAAACAAATAGAAAATAAAACTCTAATCTCAATCATACAAAGAAGAGCAGCTCCCGCTATAGCAGCCACTAACCTAGCAACACTAGATAAAACGACCGAGTAGTCAATTCGAACAAGACATCGTAGCACAAAAGTTACAAATCCGCAACCATGAGCACACCAGAGCCAGATTTTGTCACCGAAAACACTGAACTTAGAGATAAATGAGGCCAAGTTCCCTTCACCAAACCTTGCAATTATATACAAACAAGTAACATATGGATAAAATGTGAGGCTTTAACAGAAGTTGCAGAACACTTGGTCACGAGGGGAATCCGGTAAACTGGTTGGGGGGGAGGGGAAGTGAATAGATAATGAGGAAGGAAGGTAGATGGAAAAGGTGGGAGGAGATGGAGGTTTGGGTTTGAATAGGCATGGCCAGAGGAGAGGGCGGGTGGGAAACAAAAGAACATAAGGAAGACAACCGAGGAAGGGGCATGGAGCCCAAATCTGAGACAAGCTTAGGGAAAATTTAAGACAAAGCTCAAGGACGACTGATCAAAAACTCAGAAGGAAACTAAGAAAAGAGAGGAAAGGAAGAAACGAAGAGGAGGAGGAGAAAAAAGGGTTGCCACTGACACCCAAGCCAAAGGCTAAGGCTAGCGGCGAATGTGTTTCAGCAAAGAAAGAGGTTTTTCTAAAGAGAGAAAGTTAGAGAGATTTTTCCGTGTAACGTAACCGTTGGTATGTTGTGGAAACCTAACCCAACTCAACCCATCTAATCCACAACTCAAAAGGTTAACCAGGAGTAGACAAAGCCATGTTCTTAATTGAGGTTCAGAGTATGGAGTATGATTCTCTCCCCTATTTTTTTCCCCTCCCTTTCCCTCCCCACCTATTTGAACAGTCACGGTTAAACCACGTCAATATCTTATATTAATTTTTTTTTTTTATAGAAAGAGAAAGACAAAATAGAGAATGTGAAGGAAATGATGGAAGGGAATGGAAAGAAGAGATAAGAGAATCCTAGTCCTCAGAGTAATTGATATACACGACAACATGTCACATCATATTATTGTCCCTTAAGAGATTCTTATTTAAATGGCTTCACAATTGGTTCACCTTTCATCTCGAATCTTTTGCCAACAATGCAGGTGTTTTAGAATTTATATTAAAGGGTAATACAGGGGAAACTAAATTTATACACTAAATTTTGTAGACTAAGGGCTGGTTTGGTATTGCTGTGCTTTGAAAAAAAGCTACTTCTGCTGTACTGTAAGAATAAGCAGCTATGAAATAAAATAGCATAGTGTTTGGTAAACTTTTTTGTAAAAGTGCTTTTGAAAAAAAAAAAAACAGTATTATAGTGTTTGGTAAACTTTTATGTAAAACAAATGTGAAAAAAGCCGGTTTTTCAAAGTTGGGTTTTGCAGCTTTGGCTTTTCTTCACTCAAAATTGTGAACAAAAGCTAAAGCTGAATGTTTACCAAACACAAAAATAGCTCCCAGTTTTTTTTGATACCATCTTTTTTCAGAATCACCTCAGTACCAAACTAGGCGTAAATGACATGGAAATCAATGATTGGATTATTACTTAAGTATTGATTACTGTACTTATTTTTTATTGGTGATGCATCATTAAATTTACAAATTTAGGATACAAATTTAGCCTACCTAGTATTACTCTATATTTAATAATGCATTAAGTGGCATCTTGAAATATACATGTAATGTCAATTGTCAATACAAAATATGAATTGTTTGGGTTTGGGATTCAAAATGAGGGTTCTTGTTTTTTGGGTTAAAAGCCTGAAAGGTAACAAATGTGACTTAATTTAAGAGAATCTTCCTAGTCAATTATTTTCCAAACAAATTCACTTCTTTATAAGGAGGAATATAAATAGAATTACACAAGGGGCTATACAAGTTAAGGAAATCATGTTACTTAGTACTACGGTTTAGTATTATTCATCTTCACTTGTAAGTAAGCATTTTTAGGTTTGATTTTGGCAAAAGGTGAACTCGAACTAAATTATTATGGCTAACTCATTGTGAGGTTTAGCCGACTCGTCTATTATTTAGTGTAAATAATATCGAAGGTATTAAAAAATAATGAAAATTCTAATCTACAATAATTAAATTAATCCCAATTTAGTTGGGCTGACGTGAAAAACTAGTTTCTTTAATTACTCTGTATTCTTGTGCAGTAACTGACTTCTCCCATGCAATATTCTCTCGCAATAGCTATCTTCTCACGTGGATAGCATGTGACTTTAGTCTAGTTATTCAGATAGCAAAATTGTAACTCGATCTATTAATTTGAAGGCATAGTCATCCTAACTCGGAACCATATCACTCCCATATTTGATGAAATAGGATGAATTGAGAGAGTATTTTATAATTACGTAATTATCTTGAATTTGTTAACTATTTTTTTATTTTCCAATACGCTGGAAGGGACAATATTTAAATCTCTTACATTCACACAGATAGGTACCATGTGATCAATTTCTTTGAGTTCATTGCTAATGTGTTAAATGTCCCAATTCCAAACATGCTTTTACTCCCTCCTTTTCGGCCCGAACCAAGAAATCCCTCAGATATGTATGATGCAAAATGGATCTTGGTCTCAGGATGATCACTTCTCTATTAGGAATCACCTATGGCGTTGGCATATACAGCCAAACTTAAAACTGATTACATTAAGGAGTGAGTCATGAGTGTGCCTTAAGAATGTTTAACATCTCTTTGGTTTCAACAGCATTGCAGAAATCAACTTCTTTGATCAATAATTATACAACTAGAAATACAAAGGCATCAATTTTTTTTCCTTTTCATAAATATAGGATGGAATGGAAGCCCACTGAAACTACATAATTCTGTTAAATAATCCAACCAAGTCCACAAACTTCTACAAATTCACACAAAAAACTGAAAAATATAAATAATCAGGACATGGGAACCCTGAAAATTTATTAGAAGTCCACAAACTTTTAACATTTCATTTTTTTGAGTCCTGCAAGTCTTTCTCCTCGGCCTCCATCTCCCAGTCTTCAGTTATTGTCTCCAATACAGGACATGTTGAAGTCTTGTTGTGAGATATCAAAAGGGCAGGTGCAACCTCAGTCCAAGAACACAACAATCTCATCCGCATCTGCTTCGCCATTGGATCAGCTGCTTAATTTCAAGCTGAAAGATGGAGAAGTGGCCTTCTAATTAAGTGCTTTTCGGTAAAGAGATAAAGAGAAAATGGGGTTGTAGCTAGTAGCGTGTTGAGGGCGTGAGATTTTGGGTTGAAGGGAAAGCAGATGAAGGTGGCTTTTTATAGGAGTTGAAATTAATCATAATAATGTTGGCGACAAAAATGAGTGAAGGGAAATTACACCAGAAGTTGCAAACTAAAGTAGGTCTTACAGTCTCACCGACTAATTATAAGGCATGTGAGGGACATGGAAAATGTGGATAAACAATTCTAATTTAACATGTTTTATGAGTCACAACTATAAAATTTCTACCTTGAATCTTAATGGCCAATCTATGTGGTGTCCACTCTCCACCAAATTGCTTTAATTCATACGTACAACAAAAGCCTGTTCCTATTTATGTGTGCGTTATTGTACTAAAAATCTAAGGGTAAATGACAAAAAAAATACCTCAATTATGGATTGAACGAAATTTTCATACCTTATCTTTTAAAAATGACAATGTCATACCTAATCTTACGAATTTGGTCCAATATCAGACCTCTGTCAGTTTTTCTGTTAATTTATGTGTTAAGTGCTGACATGGCTAGAGATGGGACCCACTCACTAATCCAACTGGATTAAAAATTAATTAAATATTAAAAAATTTAAAATAAAATTATTTTTTATATAAAATTGTTGGATCCACCTCTACAAATCCCTCTCCACCCGTCCCCCCCCAACCTACCTTCACCACCCTCTCTCTGTCCTCTCTCTCTCTCTCTCACACCTCTCTCTTCTTTCTCCCTGCAACCTGCATCCCCAAAACGCAGAAACCCTTCCCACCCGCCCCCCCAACCTTCATCCACCACCCACCCTCTCTCTCTCTCTCTCTCTCTTGCTCGCCTCTCTCTCCTCTCTCTTTCTCTGGGCAACATGCATCCCCAATCCCTTAGTAAATATCCATTTCACATTTGGCACCACAAAGTTCCTTACTACAAATTTATAATCTTACGACATGAATACTAATTCAAGCGGTATTAGGTTAGACATTTTCCAATTCCTTCAAATTCCTTAGAAATTCAGTGTACGGTACACACTTTTCTCTATATATACACACAGCAAGGCTAGCAAAGAACTAGGTGATTGACACCCAAAAACCACACAAACCCTAACCCCAAAATCAACCACAACTGAAGCAAGGTCAAAATGGAATAACAAATAAGGAGCTGGAGATTGGGAAGAAAGAGTGAGGGAGTACCCTACGGGGCATACGCTCGATGGAACGTATCTAGTTTTTTAGGGTGAAGGACTTAGGCTTCGTTTCTGGGCCCAAGGTCGACTTGGACCGACGTCCTGGGTTCACTCGCCGCTTACTGTAGCCACCGTGAGCCATGGCATTACCTTTCCAAATAATCTCAAAGATTAGAGAGAGAAATGGAGTGTCTCTGATTTGGGGCTAGGGATTAGAGAGAGAGAGAGAATGAATGTCTCTAATTTTGGGGGTGGGTTCGAGTGAGGAGACGGGGGGTGGGGAGATAAGGTGTGTCTAATTTGGGAGTAGACTCTGGTGGGGAGAAGGGAGTGGGGAAGACAAACTGGGTTTATTTTATTTATTTATTATTTTTTTTTTTTGGGTGTACATGAACAGGGACCAGCTCGAGGAGCTACGCGTGAAGCCATCGTCGGCCTCCTTAGCATCGAAGAAGGTGATTGGTAGGTGAGGGCGGCGGTTTTGGTAGTAAAGGAAGGTTGGGGGAGACGGGTGGGAAAGGTTTCTGGGTTTTGGGATTTTGGGGATGCAAGTGCCTAGAGAGAGCAAAGAGAGACAAGAGAGAGGCGAGAAAAAGAGAGGGTGGATCCCACAATTTTATATAAAATAAATATTTTAAGTTTTAATTTTTTAATATTTAATTATTAAAAATATATTTAATTAATTTTTAATCCAGTTAGATTAGTGAATGGGTCATGTCTCTAGCTACGGCAGCACTTAACAGAAAAACTGACGGAGATCTGACATTGGACCAAATTCGTAAGATTAGGTATGACATTGTCATTTTAAAAAGATGAAGTATAAAAGTGTCGTTCAACCCATAGTTAAGGTAGTTTTTTGTAATTTACCCAAAATCTAATATTTTTAGTTTCTTTTGCTTCTTACAAACAATAATAATAGAAAGAAAAAGTTTACTACAACAATATTTGATAGAATATAATTCTTCACTCGAGAATCACCCCAAACACAAAACCAAAGACAACGAACCCATCCCTGAACCTTTCAACCCGGATTACTCACTTTGGATCGGTCATTAACTACATCACCAGTAACTTAACTTCGAAATCTTCTTTATAGTTACCTTTTGGGTGATACTATCCACATAACTCTTTTTACTTCTTACAAATCCTTTGTTATAGCACCACCATTACCATTTCTTGTAAAACAAGTATTTACTTTTTGTAATTTGTATAAGATTTTTTCCGTAATAAGAATTGTTAATTATAACCCTATATTTAGTTTCTACAACATTCGATTACCAATTGAATTGACAATTTGTTAATTGTTGTGAAAAAAAGGATAAAGTATAGATTCTGCATGTGGTCTAATATCCTAATGGATAAGATGTTAGATTTTTACTCATGTGTCTCGGGTTGAAACTCCTTCTCCCCTAAATTACTGTAATAGTTTCGCACCCTTCACCCTTCCCATAATTAGAAAAAGGTAAAGCGTAGATCCAATCTATTGTTGAAATATCTCACAATAACCATATATCTGAGAGAAGAAGAGTTTAAATATCACAACTCCACTGTAATTAATACTGGGGCCTTTTGCGATAACTCCACACCAAACGGATTGTGCAAGTGGTAATTACCAAGTTGGAGAAAATATCGGTGTTGTTGGAAGTGGGCTTTTGGCCCGTCTCACTAATAATTTAACATGGCATTAGAGGCAGGGAGCAGCCTGCACTGCCACCTGATGGATGGATGCCCTTGGGCACCGGGCAATGATGTTGGGTCCCTTGGCCCCTCATGTAGGGTGAGTTCTCTTAGCTCCACGTGGTTGTCAATGTATTGATCTCTCATGTAAAGGGGCGTGGAAAAGTATCCCACATCCATTGTATCTCTGAGAGAAGAAGAGTTTAAATATCATTCAAATAAGTTGAAGTCTTGTTGTGAGATGTCAAAAGGGCAGGTGCAACCTCAGTCCAAGAACATAACAATCTCATCTGCATCTGCTTTGCCATTGGATCAGCTGCTTAATTCCAAACTGAAAGATGGGGAAGTGGCTTTTTAATTAAGTGCTTTTCGAGAAAGAGAATAAAGAGATGAAGAGAAAATGGGGTTGTAGCTAGTGGTTGAAGGGAAAGCAGATGAAGGTGGCTTTTTATAGGAGTTGAAATTAAATAATCATAATAATGTTGGTGACAAAAGTGAGTGAAGGGAAATTACACCAGAAGTTGCAAACTAAAGTAGATCTTACAGTCTCACCGACTAATGATAAGGCAAGTGAGGGACATGGAAAATGTGGATAAACAATTCTAATGTAACATGTTTTATGGGTCACGATTATAAAATTTGAAAATGGATCATTTTCGGATTCTTTCCTTCTTATCCATCAAATCATGAATTCGTACTGTTGAAATTTGATCTAACGGCTACAAAACAAGAACCCACTTTAAAAGTTATAATAACTTCAGCCGTTAAATCAAATTTCAACGATATAGATCCCTTGATTTGATGGATTAGGAGGAAGGGATCCGAAAAGTAACCCTTTTCATAAAATTTCTACCTTGAATCTTAATGGCCAATCTATCACTTCTAGAAAACAGGTCATAGGACACTGTTTTAGGGACACCATTCATTATCAGTGTCTTTTTGAGAGTCGGTTGCACAGTTGTGTATGTTTGGTGTCCCTTAGGCTTTTCGACAACGATGATAGTGTCATTCTTCAAATTTGTAACCTATAAATTCATTATTTTGCTTTATACATGCAAAATAATAATTATTAGATTCTTTTAATGTCAAAATAATAATTATTAAGCTTTTTAATTGTTATTATATTGTGCCAAAATCTAATCATCTCACTCTCTTTCTCTTCATTTTCCTTTTTCTCCTTTGTTTTTCCCCCCTCTCTCTTTCTTTTACTTTCCTCTCTCTTTGTTTTCACCGTCACATCTCTCTTCGTTTTTTCTTCTTCCTCTTGTGTTGTTCCTGCAGAGATAAAGTTCTCTCTCCCCTTTGTTTTATTTTGGATTACAGAGGAGTTGGTGAGAGTTTTTTACAGAGGAGTTGGTGAGAGTTTTTCTCTCCCGTTTGTGAGAGCTCTTCTCTCCCTTTGTGGGAGCTTCTCTCTCTCTCTCTCTCTCTCTCTCTCTCTTTATGAGAGCTCTTTCCTTTTCCTCAATTTCAGATTCGGTTTTGCTTTCATTCAATTTTCCGTTTTGAGAGTTGGCGGCTTGGGTATCCGACGTCCATCATTGGCTTTTCTATTCTGTTTGGTTTTTTTCATTAGGCCTTTAGCTTTCTTTTCAAACCTCAATCTCAACCTTGAAGCTCCTTTCTTTCAACCCCATCCTTTCCATATTCCTATCAGTTACCCACCATCGCCAACACTGCTTATGCATCATGGTCTCTCTCTCTCTCCCTCTTTCCCCTCTTTGTATCAGATCAGGTCTGAGATTTTTCCCACTTTGAGTTCATATCTTCTATGATTTGAATGTATATTTTTAGATCTCGCCTGGGTTTCATCTGCATGCAATTTTTTGTTAATTCATACGATGGATTGTTGTTCTGCATTGATAAGTGTTGAGTACAAAAAGGTTCGGCATTGAGGAGGATGCACAGAGAGGCATAACTATTCCATTTTCGCTATAATAATTTTTCCTTTTATTTTTTCATTCTGACTAAAAATTTAATTTTCTTTGCTCTTTTAAGTAAATTATGATGTTTATTTGTGGTTTTTTTGCATTGTTAACTTTTTTGACAGAAAGAAACAGGTGCAGAAGATGATTTTGTGGATGCAAATTTCCGCCTTTTTGATCTTGGATAAAATTGCATCTACAAAATAATTAACACCTTAGGTTAAGGCCAAAAGCCTCACGCGCCCACAATGAATGAGGTGTTTTAGTCAATGAACCTCCGATGCCAGAGTTAGAATTTAAAGAGAAAAAGTGTTTTGAGAGTTTTTTGAGTTTTACAAGAGTGTGGACCTAGCTTTTTAGAGAAAATAGGATCATATATATAGGGAATGGAGGTGGCTGGCCTTAGAGGTTTTTTGTGTGAAAATGGGTGATTTAATTGGTGATTAATGGATTAATTAGGAATTAATCCATTAATTAGCCAATTAATCTCTATTTATATGGAATAATTTGTAGGTTATGAAGTAATTACCTAAGATGAGGATGGATGAGATGATTTGAAATTTGTTACCTATTTTGGACACTCTTGGCTTGATTAAAGAATGATTGTCCACTACTCGTGCGTAGGATAACCGGTGTATCTCAGGGGTAACTTTGTCCTTTTAACCAAAAATCTACGTGTCGCCTTATGATTATTTTTTGCTCCACAAATGCCCCCACACCTGCTGGGCTGCTCGTAGGAAATGACAGCTGGTGTAGAGATCTTCTTGCTTTAGGAAACTCAGGATTGTGTTCTGTTTTAATGTAGATTTCCTCTTTAATATGAAATTAGATCCTTCTAGGAAAGGGAAATAAATTTCTCTCAAAGCCTATTTAAGTCCACCTTAAGTGGATTATTAAATCAACTTTGGATAGTGATTTATTCTACCCTACAAGAGAGAGAGAGAAAGCTTAGAGGATATTTGTTCCCCCTCATCTAGCAATCTTCTACATCTTGCCCATGTAAAGGATCATCTTTCGTTGCTTTCTTCGTCTTCTCTGTGCCGCTCCAATGTAATAAAAACTTAATTTCTTCTTGTCTTCTTCTTGGGTGGTGCTGCCACGGGGTAGTCATCGGAGTAGTGCAGCATGTCGGCTGGCAGAGGCCAGAAGTTGGCTTGGCATGGGCCAAGGAGGTGATGTGGCAGGGGCCATTGCTTAAGCAGTTCCGCTTAATTGAAGCCAAGGATTGGTTCGGCATGGGCCGAGGAAGTGGCGTGGAATAGGCAATTGTTTGGGTTGCCACGTCTAGGCTACCTGCTGAAAATGAGGAAGCCGCTTGAGTTTGATTTTTCAACATTTGTTACTTAGTTGATCTTTCGATTTTTTGAACTATGTGGCCTTCACGCATTGGAGAGCTTACCCAGATAGGTGCCAGGGATTTAGCTTACCCTCTCGCAGTATATAGCAATTAGTTTAGCCTCTCGCATTGGAGAACAATTAGTTTATCCTCTTGCACTGGAAAGCAGACCCTTTTAGGGTGTTGGGGAATTGGTTTACCTTCTCGCACTGGAGAGTAATTAGTTTATACTCTCGCACTGGAGAGCAGACCTATATAGGTGCCGGGGAATTGGTTTACCCTCTTGCACTAGAAAGCAATTGGTTTATCTTCTCGTACTGGAGAGCAGGCCATTTTGGGGTGTTGGGGAATTGGTTTACCCTCTTGCACTAGAAAGCAATTGGTTTATCTTCTCGTACTGGAGAGCAGGCCATTTTGGGGTGTCGGGGAATTGGTTTACCCTCTCGAGAGCAATTAGTTTATCCTCTTACACTAGAGAGCAATTAGTTTATCCTTTATCACTGGAGAGCAGACCCATATGGGTGTCTGATAGGAGCATATTTATGCGCCTTAGTTAGCTAGTTCTTATGCATTTTTGTTATGTTTTCTTCGTTAAAGTAGTCTTTTAAACTACTTTCATGTGTTTT